GAGCCAGTTGATAATGAGCCTTAAAACAATATCATAGGGCATGAGCCTAAAGTCCCCTGTGATGAGCCCTCCTCCCTGCGGTTCTCGCCTTACCGTCTCCTCCCATCCTGAGCCACCTCTGCCATGAGCTGGGTGAGCGGCATAGCTGGCATCTCATCTGTAAGCAAAGCCTGGGGGAGAGTAGAACTGGCCAGGGAATTTTTTAAACACAACGTTTTTCATCAGAAAATGCTAATTTTACCAAAGCTGAAACCACTCGCAGGAAAGGGCCAGTTCTCACGAACTGCCCGTGTCAAGAAACACTGGAAACAAGTTTAGAGATTATAGAAATATCCCGTTTTGACATTTTCAAAACTAAAAGTCCTGAGTTTGAAATGATTTTGAAATGGTTTGAAATGATTTTTTCTTTCTAAATTTAAAGTAATTTACAATAAAAAGTCAAAGTTGAAGCCAAACATTTAGAAATTGTCAAAACATTTTGATTGACCTCATTCAAATTTGGGGTAGGGGAGAGGCTTTTCAGTTTGTGAAAATGTTTGAGATTTTGACAATTTATCCCAGTTCAGGATGGGGATTTTTTTTTTTTTTTTGAACTCTCCAATTCTCACAGGACAGGAAACTGCTTCCCACCCAGCTTCACTACTGATCCTTTTGCTCTGTACACAGCAAAAACACAATCCGAGGAGACTGCAGGAGCACATTTAAATTGCAAATAACCATGTTCACACAAACATACACAAATGTGCCAGGCCTAGCTACACACAAACACTGATGCTTGTCTTGTTTCTGGGGCTTCTGAAACATGGAACACAGAGAGACCGCTAGAGGGCTCTCAAACTCTTTCAAGGAGTTCTACCCTATGTTAGACTGGAATGGAACTACTTACATATTCCCCTCCCCTTAACCTTCCTGAGTCACTGGTCTATTCAGACTGCGAGCTCCCCAGCAGGGTTCCTTTGAGTATAGCTCCTCCCACCGCAGCTTGTTCCAGGGCATCACGCCACCTTTCTCATTTAGTGATGCAGGACACTTGTGTGGCCCCTATCTGCCTTCCACACCCCAGACCTGGCTGCATTTCCATGGTCATGTATGTACATGGTTTGAGAACTTTTCAGAGTAAAAGGTGTTATAGAGTCAAAAAAAGGTAGTGTACAACAAATATGAATATTGTTCACCTGTTCACACTAAGGATGTTTGTGATACCACAGAGAAGCATATTTAGTTCTTTGTTTTTATAACGGACTGTTCCACTGAATGAGGTTCTGGACCATGCTCCTTACACAGTTACCTGGAAATGCTCTTCAGTCTCCTGCTATCCTTACTTTGCACCTGGGATCCAGGGCATCTCAGCACGCTGAATTACCAAACACACTGGGATAGTTTTACTTCACTGTTCATTTCTGAAAATGCTTAATTCCAGATTAACACTTCCTCATTCAACCACCAGACGGCACTCTGTTCCCTTGAATACTGAGCATCTTCCAAGCACGGTGCAAAGCAAACCTCTCGAGTCGGTCATTCCACGAGATGTCACTTTTAGTCCTGAATTTACCCACGTCCTACATAAACCTGCCCACCCCCCAGTTTTCTTACTGAAAGTCATTTTACAGCAGAACTAAAAAATCCTCGCATGGAGGTTATAGCAGTGTGCCTAGTGGCTAGAACACTGGACTAGGATTCAGGATATCTGGGTTCTATTCCCAGCTCTATTGGCCTATCTCTGTACTGCCGTTTCCGCATCTGTAAAATGGGATAATGATACTTGTAAAGCACTTGGAGATCGATCTATCATTAGAGGAAGGAATCACGTAGGTGTTGACTTTCCTGAATAAATGTGTCCCCCTCATTTTAGGGCTTTGTCACACATTGCATCCCACATTCGGACTTTATGCACCCAAATTCAACCTTATGTTCAGCAGTGATGAGGACCCACAGCTCCCACTGAGGTCACTGGCTGCTGCAAGTGCTCAGACAGGCCTTTTATTTAGGTGCCTAAATATGGATTTAGGAACCTACATTTAGAAACCCAGCTTTAAAAATGTTAGCCCTAGTGGTTAAGAGACTTACCCAAGGCCACACACTGAGTCTGTGGCAGAGCCAGGACTGGAATGTAGGAGCCCTGTCCCCCAGTGGCACTAGGCCATGCTGCCTCTCTAATTCATAGCTGTCAGTTCACAACTGAGAATATGCGGGAATTCTCGATTCTTCCCTAGCTCAGATCCTTCCCTGGCAGAGGGAGGGACAGGCTGATTCCAATCACACACAGAATAGATGACCTGATATTAAACAATAAGCCCCACACGATCAAAACAATAAAACCTCCAAGTGAGAAACCTCCCCGCACCAGCAAGGAGTGAAGAGTTGTTTGCCATGGGACCCATAGCGTACCCCCTAGGCAACACAGCACCCTTACCCATCTCTCCATTGGTGACCCCAACCTAAATTGCTGCCCCTTTGATTTTTGCTCATCGTAACTTCCATCGAAGGCCGCATGACACAGGCCCATCATTTTATAAAACAGCCATGGCTCGGCACCTCAACTGAGGATCGCAGCCCCATTGGCCGGGCCATTATACAGAGAAGACAGTCCCAGCCTCGGGGAGCTTGCACCCATAGGGTGAAACCTTGGCCCTACTGGAGTCAATGACAAGACTCCCATTTACATCCCTGAGGCCAGGATTTTGCCCGGGTGCCAGACAGAATGCAACTGGTGAACAGCACAAATGAGGGAGGAGGAGTGTGAAGCTGGGATGATGAAGCCACAATAAAACAAAGAACATTTAGCAGAAAAGCAGACATAACACAAAGGGCCAAACCTACCCCTGAAGCAAATGTCTGCAGATCCAGCGAGGGTTATGCCCACTTGCCCTAGGGCTGAATTTGACCACACTGTTTAGCTCACTGCTCCCCACCTACTGCACTTACTGACCTAAATTCCTCTGCTATCCAGCTTCAGGTGCATCGTTCTCCTCCCATGCTATGCATCCAGTGCGATACCTGCTTGCACAGCCATGGCAGCTGGGAGGGGGCAACAGCATCCGAACACACCTGGGCAGCATGGAGCAGGTCCGCCTCTGCTCAGTTCACACCGGTGCAGTCCCAGGGCAGCTCCCTGTGCATTTGCCTCCGCCGGGGTGTAACAGGGCGTGCTGAGCCAGGAGCTGACCAGCACTCTGGCCCTCACCTTCTCACCAGGACACATTAACTGGGCCCTGACTGAAAGACAATAGGTACCAGTTACCTGAGTAGAGGGGGTAACTGGGTGGAAGTAACCTGCAGCAGCTGGGACTATCTAAGCAGGCAGGAAGGCCGGAGTAGGTAGGCCTGGCTGTGCTAATTCTGCAGAAGCAGGTGGGGGAAGCTGGCTATAAATAGCACATAAATAACCCTCCAGGCTGTGGCCTGCGGAAGGGATATAATGAAGCACGGAGGTGAACACTTGCAGCGGGGTGGTCAGTTACTGAGACTGGAAAAGATGCTCAGGGCACCACTGCGTGACAAGGGGGCAAAGCAGGAATGCCACAGCTTCTGGCCTGCTATGCCACAGTCCGGCCAGGCTCTTGGGGTGCACAGTATGGGCCTAGCCTTTGTTACCAAGAAACTCAGGATTTGGGTCGTTAACAGGCGGAGGACTGGATGCTAAGTGCAGCACTGGGGGAAGATTACTCCAGACTGCAAGCCAGAGTCACGACAAACAGCAGGGTGCGTCCAAGGAGCCAGTATCCTGGTGTCAGAGTAACAGCCGTGTTAGTCTGTATTCGCAAAAAGAAAAGGAGTACTTGTGGCACCTTAGAGACTAACCAATTTATTTGAGCATCCTGGTGGAAGCTTGACAGAACGGCCAGGCAGTCGCAGACTGCTACACTGGGGCTGTACTGCCAGCTGAGCTGGTGGAGGGCGTGCCCAGGAGCCCAACGGTGATGTGCCTGGCACTGGCAGGGGTGAGCTGGAACTCCAGAGCTGGCACTTCCTATAGTACTACTTGCATTGTAGTAGCACCTGGAGGCCCCAGCTGGGATCAGTTGTGCAAGGTGCTGTCCATACGCTTCGCAAGACAGTTCCTGCCCCAAAGAGTGTATAGTCTAAGACAGACAAAAGGTGGGACAAAGAAGAAATTATTCCCCAGGGGACCTGAGGCACAGAGAGAGGAAGTGACTTGGCCAGCGTCACACAGGCAGCCTGTGGCAGAGTCAGGCACTGAGCTCACCTCTCCTGAGTTCCAGGCCAATGCCCTGAGCCACAAACCATCCTTCCTCTCTGCTATGCAGAGCACTAGAGGCCCCAGACACTTGCTACCTGCCACCACTCAGGGCAACAAGCAGGACTGGAGGCGACCATCTCTGTCTGCAGCAGCCCTTTCCCAACACGTCAGGCTTCTCATCCACGGGGACAAGCAGCTGCATATTGGCCCTACGGCATGTGCAGCAGGACTGACTCCTACTTCTCTTCCCAGCTAGAGCTCGGTGCAACGGCTTTACACGGCAGTATGGGCTGGGGGCTCTTTGCCTCCAACAGCAGGAGCTAAACTGCAACTTTCTAACTTCCAAGAACCCATATCTGATCTCTTGTTTTCACAAGTAGTGAGGCATGGGGGTTTTGAACAAGTCAGATGCACAGCTGCCCACGTAAAGTGAGCACTCCCTTGCTTTGAGCATCCACCTATAGCTGGCTGAATTCTAATAGGATTTCCAAAGTACAGGCTGCGTTTGGGAGCTCCCCAGGGGCAGGAGCAATGCCAAAACCTGAACAAATAATAACTCAGTAGAGACACTGCCATCATCCAAACAATAAACCAGCACAGTCTGAATAATGGAAATGACTGGCTGACTGGGACAAACGTTGCATACCAGCTTTTACAGATAATTCAGTGGGGGTCGGCCTAGCACATGGCCACTGTACAGCCTCTCGCTGTGCCTGCCACGTGCCCCCTTTGTGCTTGTGTTCTGTCTCCTGCTGAGAAAACTGGCACAAAGAAATAAATGAAATACTGATGAAACACATGGGATCAAACATGCAGGGATTTATTAATCCTTGGTTAGAAATCAGGCCCACTGTGCAGCTGCTGTTGATAGCTAAAACAGCAGGCAGAGCACGGAATGACTGAAGGATTTACCGGTTGCTGTGCATGTAACTTAATTTCCCCAGGATGGATGTGGTTGAAAGGGCACCCAATGCAGAACTGTGTGTTCTGGGTCTCCATCACATATATCCCGCTGGAGCGCAAGTCTCCCTCTGTAATGTGGCAAAGGGAACCTGACTTCTCGTTGCCCTCAATTCCAGCCAGTTAATATTCTTGGTCCATTAGTAGGGCATTTGTGGGTCACCATGTGGGCCCCCCAACATGTTAGATAAGCAGCCCTGGCTATTTGCACTGCTGGAACTTCTGCCAGAGGCCTCCTTTTGCTAAGGTTCTTCACTATTCCCCTCCAGCTCAGGGGGTGTCATCTGGAAGGGCGTGGAGTCTGCCTGAGGGGGCCAGGCTGAGGACGAGAAGAGCTGGAGTGCTTCTGTTTCTCCCCCTTTCCGGAAACATGGGCAAATAGCTGAGGCTGGTGCTTCCCTCGCAGCAGGAGCTCGCACTTCTCCAAACAGCTCTGGCAGGCAGGGAGCAGAAGAGAGAATGAAGGTGTCCATTGCAGTATCATGCGAAGCGCTGCACGTACACGGACACGGACGAGCCTTCGGAAGGTCCTGGAGTTTCCTTTGGATGTATCTGCTACCTCTAGGGTTAGTTGCAGAAAACAACGTCAGCGTCTTTGAGCCAGCGAACCAAAGTGCTGAAGATGACAACACAAGGGCTGCTAAAGAGGAGTCATGAGCCCAAATCACGCCTTGTGTTAAGTCTACTGTGTGCAGCTCTGGAAGCACAAATGGCCCTTAAGTGCCCTTCCCAGCCCTGGAGCATTCCCCCCTGCATGAAAGAATCAGCTCGTGCCACCCTTGCTCCAGCCACTGCCACAGGGACAAAGGGGAATGGCCAGGATGCCAGAATGGGTGCTGGTGGTCCTTTACACCCAGGACAGGTGAGGTGGCCAGAGGGCCTCAGGATCAGGGAGCACCAAGGTCACCATTGACAGTCCATTTCAGCTGCTCCCAGTGCTATCAGCCACCACTGAGATCTAGGCCATAGTTCCTTGTGAGTGAACATGCCAGGTAGTTGCCTATAGCATTGGCAGGGGCTATGGCCCTTTGAACAGGGATCAGATGAGTCTTGTTGTCAGGGAAAAGGTTTCGGAATCCACATTGAGAAATGGTACAGCACTCAGAACGTGGTCCTTTGGGAATCTGTACAACTGACAGAGCAGTTAACTCATCAATCCCTTCTCTCCTGAGATGACCACTCCACATTGATGATGTCCCCCAGGGAAGACATGCTCCCCTTTGTGCTTTATAGCTGTTGGGGGATCTGCTGCAGGGCCCTGGAGCACTTCGGGTTGGATTCCACAATCTGCAGAGCTTTGGGGACCTTGCTTAGGACGTTTACTCTCATCATCAGTTTCAACAGGCCTCTCTTCCAGGCCAGAATCAATGTCCTGGCTCCTGAGGAATCCCAGTAGGAGGGAAACACCCTATGGGGTGTTTCTTGGTTTTCCCCCCCTACCCTTGTTTTCACTGCCGCCTTCTCCTGGGGTGGGGTGGGGGGGAGGCAGCCGAGGAAGAGGACTCTGAGGGGGTTGTTGGTGGAAATCTCAGGAGATGGTGTGGCCTTCTGAGGAGCTGGGGGATGGGGTGGGAGAGGAGCAGGGACATGAGACCCCTCCAGCCCACAGCCCCATGCGGGTATGCACTCTGACAGGGCTGTATGTAAGCCTTGGGGAGGAATAGTTTGTTGACCTCCACAGTGTGGGTTTGATCAGGACCCCTGTGGGGGAAAAGTAATGTCATGCCAGAGGCTGATGGGGAGTATATGGGACGTTGCAGGGTGGGTGGGGCAGTACCAGTGTTGGAGGAGGAGAGCAAGGAGAAGAGGTCCCACCACAAGTCCTACCTCTTTTCATTCTCCTCTCCCTAGTAAGGAGAAAGGAAGGCTGGTGAGGCCCACGCTAGAGCCTTCCGATCCAGCACCACTAGGAGCTGTTCTGAGACCAAACATGGAGGAGACTGTGGCAATTCCCTGCTAGAGCTGGTGCCAATCAAAGCAGGAGCATTGGAGGGCACTTTTCCCGCTCTCCAGGGAAGAAGCTCCCAGCAAACAGCTTGAAGTGGCTGCAAGCTCATCCTCTTCACCCCCAAGGCAGCTGCTGGACTGAGGCTCCGTAAGAGGCAGATCCTTTTACCACAGCTGCTGGGGAGCGGGCCTGGGGGTCAGGGTCCAGCTGTTCTTGCCACTCTACACGTCCCCACTTAGGATCACAGTTCAACAAGCTCCCATGCGAGGAGAGGGAAGGGGGAGCATGCTGCTAAGCCCCAGAAGACTAGTGGCTAGAACCTCAGCTCCACTGAAATAAACAGAGCTACGCTGATTTACACCAGGTGGGGAGCTGGCCCATGTCCCCCAGAGGAACAAGTGGAGATCATTCTCAGGGAGCCAGAGACAGCAGTTCTTGGCCTTTCACAGGCTCCTTTTGGGTGCCAAAAACCTTTATGAGAGCAGTGGCTGAGTGCAAGATGGGCATGGTTACCCAGAAATCTCTCTTCCAGGCCAACGGATCCCAGCATATGAGAATGGATTTCCATACAGCCCAGAAGAGCTTGTCTGTTTCAAATAGCAGATGAGACACAAAGTCTAGCAAAGCAAGAAGCTTACTCCTTCCATGGAGCGGGATGTCTTGTGATTAAACTACAGTGGGAAGGTGCCAGGTTGCACCCAATACCCCGAATTGTTTGAGTTCTTGTAATTCTGAGTATTTCTGAGAGTGCAGACTCTGCCTCCGTGGCAGCATTAGTTTGGGTTTTGATTGTTCTTACGAGTACAAATAGCTCTGAGCAGAACCTGAAGGAGCAGCTAATGCTAACACCACACATTCCTTCCGTACTAGAAAGTAAAGAAAGCTGCGGGTGCTGTGGAAAGACCCAAAAGTGGGGCAACAGAAATTCTAGCTAGAACTACATTCTGCCCTCCCTTAGACCAGCGAGGTCGATGGGGGCTCCTGGAGCTAAGGGAGGACAGCGTGGGCTCTCAGATTCAAAGGTGGGAGCCCACAGGGGCTCGGGCACACTATTCCCAAGCTTGCTCGCCTCCGATTTTAACCTTACACTTAAAAAAAAAATCCAATCCCCCTTCCCGCAAACCCTTCTCTATCCTGTCTCCGGAAGAGCCTTGCCCTATGGCCACGCCTCATCAGAGAGGTGGAGTTCAGGGGCAGAGGGATGAATATTTTCAGTTTGAATATTTCATCCCTACCTGAGAGGTCTCCGGGTGTTCCCTTGAAACCAGAGCATTGCAGTCAAGACAGAGTAACCTGCTCACAGGTTGGGGCCTGCACTGAGACTCCACTTAAAAGCAGATGATCTATCTGCCATAATGACCAGCTGCATCATGTCTGGAGCCCCCACTGTGGATAGTTTCAAACATGAAGTGAGAGTGACATTGAAGTGGCAGTAACTTGAACAGATGAAGATTGTTCACATCCCCACACCTGAGTAGCACAAACGTAACCGCATTGAACTCGGAGCCTCTGCTGTTGCACTGTGGATTTTCACAGCTGATACACTATCATCTCCCCTTTTGCAAATCTCTGACAACATTGCTACCTTCACTGTTCGGACATTATGCGACTGTCCAGCTAGGAAATTCTGTAAATTTTGTATATTATCTCACGGCAAATTATCACCTGCAAACCTCTAAAATGTTACATTGAAGAACATGTGCCCAGCTTGTGAGGATCCCTAATTTAGGGAACGAGCTTCATTGCTGGAAGATTTGTTAATACAGATTTTGTTTTCAGTAAATTTTGGCACATACCATTGAGCCTGTTTGGTTACTGATATACACCACTAGGATCCAGCAGTCTAAGTACTAACCAGAGCAAGCCTGGAATACAGACTGCACTGCTGGGGTCTGGGGGTTTTTTTGTAAGCCATTTCCAAGGGAACAATTCTGTCTTACAGACAGGCCATCGGATTCTGTGCTTTGTCGGGAGCTATTATATATCCCTGCTACCTGAATATACTGCCAAAAAAAAAAAAAAAAAAGTGTAACATGGTCTGACATCTCCTGCTAAAAGAGACAATTATTCATCAGTGGAATTTAAAACAAATTGCTGGGCAGCATATTATGTAGCTGGCAGCTGCTGGAGTTGAAGCCATTCTAATAGGGAGCAGGCGAGAGGAGAAGAAATTAGAGTAATAACAATGACCTCAGTTAATAATTTATCATCAAAATATGACTTCAGTAGTCGAATACAGTTCAGAGTAAAAATTCCCAACGAGCATGCACATTTAGATGGATTTCCTTCGCAGGCGGAGGTGTTCCCTGCAGCTGGGGCTGTTGGACGATAAAGTGCTCCCAGGGGAGGAGAAACCAGTGGGATCCCTCGTGCTCAGGGAGACCTCATCGATTTTGTAAGAAATGGAATTATAGTAAACGGGATTGGTGTGGCAGCTGAGGGTCTCTGGATGGGAGGGGGCAGGGCTCCCACACAGCCGCGGTCTGTAGCACAAACACGTGCAGAAGGAAGGGACTCTGGCAGTGGAGTTTGAAGAATGGCGTCTTGGTCTATCAGCATCTTCCTGCATCAGTGGGATGAGGTTCATTTGACTTGTCCTGTCTTCTGTGGGTAGAAAAATAGCATCTTTGTTCTTACTGTCTTCCTTAGCTTTCAGATGGATGTTGTTCCTGACTCTCCTCAGGGATGCCCTCTCTTCTGCATCCCGCCTCTCATCTTCTGAGTTCATAGTCAAAAACCTAAGAACTACTAAGTTTAGGAAAGCACCAATCACAGTCAAACCGACCAAGATGTACATGAAGCTGAAAGCCACATATGGTGGCTTCTTCTGCAAAGCTTCGTTTTTCTGCAGAGCTACAAAGTCCCCAAACCCAATAGTGGTCAGCGTTATGAAGCAGTAATAGTAAGCATGGAAGAAGGTCCAGCCCTCAAAATAAGAGAAGGCAGCTGCTCCAACACACAGTGTCCCCATGCAAGACAGGAAGCCTACTAAGACCATGTTTTCCATAGAGACGTTAGTCTTCTTCATGCCCAGACACTTCTTTATTTTCTTCAGCAGTAACCGGACTACGGTGTTCATGCGTTCCCCAAGACTTTGGAACATAACCAGTGTGAGGGGGATGCCAAGGATTGCATAGAACATGCAGAAAACTTTGCCAGCATCTGTGCCTGGGGCAGCATGTCCATAACCTGCACCAGAAAGAGAGAAAGGCAGGCATTACTTAAACACACAGGAGCAATGGCATCCCATGTCAGTGTTGCAGGCCAAATTCCATCGCTGACAGATGAGTTTCTGCGGGGGGAGGAGCAATATTTGCAGACAGGTTTGTGCTTACTGAGATTTGGGACTATGCTCCCCTACGGGTCACCGATGCTGATCTCTGAATCACAACAGAGTACACTAAAGGATGGAGTTTCATTTAGTCTTTAAAGGGCTAAAGTTACCCCACTTGCACCCCATGATAGCCTGTGGGCTTGCTCTGGAGTATCTATGGGCAGGATTAGACCGACAGGGCCTTCTTCTCCTCCCAGGCTGGTTTAAGTCTACTGACTTCTATGTATTTTCTTCTGATTTATGCCAGGGGAACTGAGAGGAGAATCAGACCAAAGGCACTTTCATTTTCACTCTATTGCTTTAAATACAAAGTGTTTATTTCACTGAAGCACCATGAGCTGACCCCATCCCTACAGAGCTCAGAGAAGGATGAAGTGCCGTATTTTCGATCCTCACCAACACAGATTAAGATTTAATTTCCTTGTCTTGTTTGGAGGTTTGGAACTGCTGTACTAAGCAAGGAGGCGCATGATAATAGTAGGATAAGAACAAGGTACTCACTGAAGTCCTGATCTTAGCTGTATAAGCTTAATTGAAATTTGTGATCTCTGCCCCAGATGGAGAAGTAAAACTCAACACAAAAGAGAATTACACTGTATCCTGCAGTAACCACTATGGGGGCAGGAGGCCTCATTAAAAAAAACAAACTGTATTGAGAAGGCAATAGGTATGGAAGCTTCTTTTGTGGACATGTTTACATCCTAGAACAACAGTTAATTTAAGCAGGGTCAGAGCCAGTTTGTTTCCCTGCACTGCTGCATGGATTTTTGAAAACAATTATTTTAAAATTTCACTTTTTCCAGTTACTTAAACAAGTTGAAGAATATGGAAAAAATATTCATCAGGAGACATTCTTTTTCTTTCTTGTTCTCATTCAATACCATGAGTGGGCTTCACGTACGGTTGCACAGGGCAGAGCTTTTAGGGAAACTGTCCGATCACAATGATGGATTGATCAGGAGATGATTTACATACAGCTGTCTCTGGTAGATTCTCAGCTGCACCTTCCACTCCAGGAAACTGGATGGGGTTGCAAGACCAGGTATTACATAATTGACTGTGGTAAACTCATGACTGCAATATTCTAAGAGAGAGTTCGCTTCCCACTGTTTGTGTAAACACACATTAAGATCAAATGAGTTAAAATTACCTCGTCATTTACTCTGATACAATCAAACAAGCACCTGTTGCAGAACACAGAGCGGAATCAGGACTTGAGTGACATAGAAAGCTACTAGACCTTTTGCAGCAATCACCAGGTACTAGGATACATGAGAACGCTGTGGGAACACGAAGCGGTAAATAATGATCTAAAGCAGCAATGAGGTGGAGAAATAGCTGTTGTTCCCCCCAATACTCTTAAAAGAGGATATGACTGATGCTTTCAAATCGACAAAGGAAATGAGAGAGTAAACACTGATACGCCGACTGCTCGAAATCGACAGAAATGTTCTCTTTTGGGTCAAATGAAACATTTTGTTCAACCGCAAAAATATTTCTGCCTTTCAGTTCATCCAAAACTTCAAACATTTTGGTTAGGATTTGACTTGACAAGAATTTTTCCCTCTCAGAACTTTTCACAGCTCTTCCAGTGACATAAATGTGGATGAAACGTTTTGCTGAGTAAAGAGTGCTCTCTGCTCTGCCCTGAGACCACAGGGAACGGCACTGAAGAGTCACGGACACTTCCATCCATTTGAACGTTGTCAGCAAGACTCTACAGGTACGCCTACACCGCAGCTGGGAGCAAGCCTCCCGGTGCGTCAGACGCACACTAGTGGGGCTCGAGCTAGCATACTAAAAATAGCAGTGTGGATGTTGCAACTTCGGCAGAGACTCGGGCTTGCCACCCAAACTCAGACTCAGGGGATGGGTGGGCTTGACTGCCAGACCTGCCACCCCAGTCACAACGTCCATGATGCTATTTTTAGTGCACTACCTGAGGCCCACTAGCACAAGTCTGTCTACCTGGGCTGGGAAGCTTGCTCCCAGTGGCAGTGTAAACATACCCTAAAATAAAGCACCCTAAATCCATCACTGTGCACAGGGAATGTGTGCAATCAACTAAGTAAAATACTTACCACTTACATTCTGATTTTCAATTGTGAAAGGGCTTTACATCTTTCCACTAAAATTTACCCTCTGTAAGGATTAAGCAATTAGCCAAGGTGACTGTGCGACGGTGAATGGCTGGGATTAGATCTCAAGGTTCCCGGCTTAAGGCTACACTTGCAAGTAATAATTTCAGCTCAGCCAGTGCAAAGGGGCATTGGAACTTTATAGTGAGACTCAAAGGTGTGGTGGCTGGCAAGGCTCCCGAAAGTAGGTCTTCTACAATCAAACATCAGGGCTTTGAAGAGAAGATATGGCTGGAATCTAGGCCCCACTAGGAATTTTGCCTGGGGTCAGGGTTTCATGCATTGTACTGAGGGCCTTCAGGCTGTTCCTGGAGAACTCTCTCAATGGAGCACCTTTTAAAATGTTCACATTTGTACATTCCCATAGAGAGGAATAGGCTTTTTCCTATCAGGGTTCCCATTGTTCCCTGCAGCCCTTTTGCTACTGCTTGCAATGAAGTCCATCGGCCTGTGCTTAGCCATGACAGTATACTGTCACGTGACTGTGAGAATACTCACATTTTGCATAAATGTTTTGATAATATTTTGCATTTTCATAGCCCCGCCTATCATAGGATCTCAGGTAGCTTTGTAATCATCACAGAGCACTGGCGAAAGTACCAGAGAGTTAGATATTACTTTGCAATTATTATTATTCCCATTTTGCAGATGGGGAAACTGAGGTCACATTGAGTCAGCAATACAGCAGGGAGTGGAATCCATGGATGCTGCCTCCCAGTCCCTGTTGCTCCTCCGCTTTGGAATTGGTAAACCTGATTTTACACACCTCTCTGAAAAGGTGAAGACACTTAAATTCTTTGGCCAATTTCCAACATTAAAGTTCCTCTTAGCTCCCTGCAACAATTCAAAGGCTGCCCATTTCCACAAATGAGGTCTCGTTGCCTGAGGAGGGGGTGGGTGGGTGCAGACAGTGTGGGTGAACTCAGTGCACATGGAGAGGTGGGGGTGCAGGCAGCAGGGGTGTGCTCAGTGCCCACGCAGAGGTTGGTGCAGGCAATTGGGTTTATTGCACATGAGAACGAGGTAACATCACACACTGCACACCAGGGGAAAGGTGGCTTCTGAGTCTTGTTAGCATAATATCTGAAAGCAGAGATAAGGACATCATGGGCAGGCAGTGGGGATAAGAACTCCTAGCTGTTCAAAACCTTGTTCCCATGACTGCATGTGAGGGGGCTTCCTTACACCAGGGCAAGAAGGAGCAAAGCAGAAGAGTCTTTTTGCAGGGAGGGAAGGAGCCTGATGCTGGAGCCAGGGAGTGGGTGGAAGGTGCACAGAGCCTGACATGGATGCACTCTGATACCAAGATGAAAATAGCCTTAAATTCCAGAGTTTAGCGCTGTCCCCTGCAAGCTCACGGGATTCAGGGGGGCTGCTGATGGCTCCCAGGAGGAGACGCAGAAGTGAGCTGTTAGTGGTGCAGTGACCCTGGGGCTGGGGGAGAACACATGGGAAAGCGGGGGGGGGGCAGGGGGTGACTCAGTGCCCATGGAGGGGTGGAGACAGGCGGGGGACAGCTCAGTGCTCAAGAGGGCAGGGGGATGGGGGCAGGCAGGGGGCGGCTCGGTGCCATGGGGGGGGACAGGGAGCGGCTCGGTGCCCATGGAGAGGTGGGGGCAGAAAGAGTGGGAAGCGGCTCGGCGCACATGAGGGCAGAGGGATGGGGGCAGGCAGGCGGCCAGGTGCCCACGGAGGGCTGGGGGCAGGCGGGGGAGGGGCTCGGTGCCCTTGGGGGGACAGCCCGGTGCCCGGGGAGGAGCGGGGACAGGCGGGGGGGGGGTGCCCGGGGGCGGTGACCGGGGAGGAGCGGGGACAGGCGGGGGGGGGGGCGGCCCGGTGCCCGGGGAGGAGCGGGGACAGGCGGGGGGGGGGGCGGCCCGGTGCCCGGGGAGGAGCGGGGACAGGCGGGGGGGGGGCCGGCCCGGTGCCGAGGAGGCGGGGACAGGCGGGGGGGCGGCCCGGTGCCCGGGGAGGAGCGGGGACAGGCGGGGGGGGGGCGGCCCGGTGCCCGGGGAGGAGCGGGGACAGGCGGGGGGCGGGGGCCCGGGGAGGAGCGGGGACAGGCGGGGGGGGCGGCCCGGTGCCCGGGGAGGAGCGGGGACAGGCGGGGGGGGGGGCGGCCCGGTGCCCGGGGAGGAGCGGGGACAGGCGGGGGGGGGGCGGCCCGGTGCCCGGGGAGGAGCGGGGACAGGCGGGGGGGGGGCGGCCCGGTGCCCGGCCCGACCCCGCACTCACCGATGGTGGTGATGACCGTGATGGCGAAGTAGAAGGAGCCGGCGAACTTCCACTGCCCGCCGGCGCGGTGCGGCTCGGCCTGCAGCACCAGCCGCTCCAGCTCGCGGTAGTCGTCGGCCGAGAAGCGGTACTTCCTGCGGAGCTCGCCCCGCTTCTGCTCCAGCAGCCGCCTGCGGCCGCTCTCGCCCTCCGACTCCAGCGCGTCGAAGACGGCGGCGCCCACCAGCAGGTAGGAGAAGATGCAGAGGATCAGCGAGACCGTGCGCAGGTTCTGCCGCTTCATGGCGCGGGGCGGCCTGGGGGGCGCTCGGCCGGGGCACCGCGCCGGGGACCAGCGCCGGCTTGCTCAGCCCCCGGCCGGCGGGCATCGCCTGCCGCATGCACCGGCCGCCAGCTCCCCACTGCGCTGGGCCCGGGTTATCGGCGCGTGCCTGCAGCGGGCATGCACCGGCCGGCGGGTGTCGGCTCCCCCCCTGCACCGGCTGCACGCACACAGCCCGGGCAGCGGCTCCCGCGCCGCCTGCAGCACCCTCAGGTGCCGGTCCCCAGCCCCCGCTGCGCGGTGCTGCTGCAGGGGCTGGAAGGTAGCGGTGCCCACGCGCCGGCTGCAGGGCCCCCGGCGTCCCCTCCTCCCGCACCAGGGGAGGGCTGGGGGGCCGGTCCCGGAGCCGCTCCGCCTGCGGCTGCTCCTCCCGCTACGTGCTCCCCCCCTCCCCAGGCACGCAGTTGGATGCGCTTCTCCCAGCGGGGAGCGGCACGGGGGGGGGGGGGGGGGAGGAGCTTGCGGCTGTTCCCGGGCCGGCTGGGTGGACCGGACCGGACCGCCCCCTCCAGAACCACAGCCCTTTCTCTTCCCGCATCCTCAGGCTTTCCTGGCCGCATAGGTGCTGGTAGAACTAGAGGTGCGGGGGCTGCTGCTGCACCTCCTGGCTTGAAGTGATTTCCAGCCTATCCAGGGATTACAGTTTGGGTCAATTTTCAGAGTAGCAGCCCTGTTAGTCTGTGTTCGCAAAAAGAAAAGGAGGACTTGTGGCACCGTAGAGACTAACCAATTTATTTGAGCATGAGCTTTCGTGGGCTACAGCTCACTTCATGGCTCTCAGCACCCCCACGATAGGAATTGTTCCAGCCCCCCTGCTCAGGGGCACCTGCTGCCTCAGCACCTTCCACTGCTCTGCCCAACCAGGGAGCAGGTCCCCTACGCCCCCAGGCAGCCCCCACTGTGGCATCACCTCACAAATGTGTCATGGCAACCCACATCCCCCTCGGCCCTGCTACACTGAGCCTGCCCTAGGCTTAAATAATAGCTGCTTCCGCTCTCAGCCCCTGCCTGAGCATAGCCAAAGTGGTTCCAAAGCAGAGGGCCTGCCCCTGTGAAGAGGAACTTGTCACCAGTCCCATCCCATTCACACCTGAGGATTATTATTGCACGGCCTTCAGCTGGTCACACTGCTGCTGCACCATGCAGCTAGGACTCAAACCATTTAGGGCTGTGTAGGTCAAAATCAGTTTTTCTCTGACCTACCCTGAGGCTCATTGCTGAGTACTGGAAGAGGTGACCTTTCTCCATTTGGTGTTACTAAGCCAGAACTCGGAAGTAGGACTCCTCATGGAGCCTTTCTACCTTGGGTCACTCTCACCTACCCTCTAACTTCATCAAGGCTGGCCTGGCTCTGGGTCATTTATTGGAAATATTATATAAAGCAGGAACTTTGCCCAAGATCATACCTTTCTGGCAGTGTTCCCAGGTTGAAGGAGTGTTTTGGATGCTGATGTGAGTGCGAGCAGCCAAGCTGCCCTGTTTTGCTTCAGGATCCAGGTAGCTTTGAAGTGGAATAGGATTCACCCAGGCTGGGTATGCAGCCATGGAGAAAGCATGTTGCAGCTAAAACACTCTTTAGGGTAGCAGTGCTGGATGTGGGAAGCGAAAGGGGTGCTGCTTGGTAGGACTCACCAGGGAGGTAGTGCTTTACAATTAGCGACAATATGGAATCAACCACAATTAAAAAAACAAAACCCAAAACATGTTTTTTTCTGATTTTCTCACCAGTCCTAGATATCAGATTATCATAACTGCTGCTGTATTATTTGAAGCGGAGGGAACAGAAGGAGAAAACCAAATAGCTAAGGTTACATGTTTCCATCCCAGATCAAATATACCTAAAGTCTGCTTTGACTAAGATACTGCAATGCTAGCTCCCCCTGCATGCCTTCATCACCAGTACACATCAACCCTAACTTGGAGGGACCCCACCTCTAGAGGGTCAGAGAGGAGTTCAGTCTCTGCCTTTGGCCTTAGGTTGAGACTGCCAACAAGTGCTAGTTGTAACAGTGCTGATTTATGTTTCTGATGCTGTATGATTAAATCTGACTATTTATATAGCTGATATTGCCACCATTATACAATTGCAACACACCTTGTATGAAGTAGTGGCCGTGTTAGTCTGTAGCCACAAAGAGAACAGGAGGACTTGTGGCACCTTAGAGACTAACAAATTTATTTGAGCATAAGCTTTTGTGAGTTTACGCTCAAATAAATTTGTTAGTCTCTAAGGTGCCACAAGTACTCCTTTTCTTTTTACCTTGTACAAAGTATATCGTGTAAGGTGTCCATGGAAAAGTTCTGATTTGCTAAATAAAATTATCCTGTTTATATTCATATATAATCTTTGTATCTAAAGTTATGAATATTGGCAGTGGATTTGTATTTTACTGTAAGCATGCAGACTCACCTAACAGCAGCTCCTGCTGGGCATCCTTGGGAATTAGCTCAATTTCCAGCCCAGAGTACCCTCCACAGGCCAGTGATCCACCGTACTACTGGTCCCCAGTCCCTCACCTTGGGTGCTGCCTCCCTGACAGTACCCCCACTCCCAGGAACCCTCACCCACTATCCCCACAGTCATGGCTACTGCCAGTCACCATCTAGCCCCACACCCTGGGGCAGACTGCAGTGTAAAAGCCAATCATCACAGACAACAAGGGGTTTGGACTGGCTGCCTTTACCCAACCTCAGGCTACCCCTCTGCAACCCCAATACCTATTTGAGCTTGGGGAGTTGCTGGCCTAGAGCTTCCCAGCTCCTGGGGCCTTTCCCCATCCCTACCTCACTCTAAATCCCCTGGGTAAATTTCCCCCACAGCTAGCCTGTCTCTCTCCAGCCTTTATAAGGGCCAGCTGGGCCCTGATTGGGGTGTGGCCCAGCTGCAGCTACTTCCCCACTCAGCCCAGCTTCTAGCCCACAGACCCCCAGCCCTCTCTAAGGCCTGGCTTTTCAGCTCTTCAGGACAAGAGCGGGTGACCACCCTGCTACACTTACATATGTGTTGCATTCCTGAGTAGCACCCACCCAATAAAAGTTATATAGAGCCAGACAGCTATGTGTTGATGGTCCACTGAGGACACTTCAATCTAACAATGGGCCCAGATAGCTCTTCCTGTGGATGCCTCAACAAGAATATGGGCAATGGCTGTCCCTGTGAATCATCAAAGCATGTAAGGACATGTGATATGCCCGGGTAACCCTGGGTTCCATCTTGGGCCAGTAAAACTTTCCACAAACAGAGGCTGTGAGCTGTGCTTGAGACAGTAAAATTCCATGCACAGGGCAAAGGATATAAAAGGCCCCTGAGATATCTCCATTTTGTCTCTTTCCTACCATGATTCTCTGGACTTACAACAAAAAGGAGCATTTTGAACTATGGACTGAAGGCCTTCCAATCTTTTGGAAGATACCAGAGAGGCTTTACAAGCTAGCAGTTTATTCCATCACTGCTACAAGCCTGAGATAAGGACTTTGCAAGTATTTGTTTGCATATGATTTATTAACTCTCTTCTTTTCTTTTATTATTATTATTTCTTTAGTTTTTAGTTACTAAAGGATTGGCATCAGCATGATTATTGGGTAAGATCTGAGTTATATGTTGACCTGGCTAAGTGGCTCATATCTTGGGATTAGAAGACCATATATTTGATGAAATTGGTTTTCAGTAACCATTCATCATAGAATCCGGTGTCTGGGGTGAGCCAAGAGCTGGAATGCCTAAGGATACTGAACTTTTGACTTTTTGTTAACCAGTTTGCCAAGACAGAAGTTTACTTTTGTTCCTGACTTGGTATAAAGTAAAGATAAAATAACCACCAGTTTGGGGTGCGTCTGCCCTGTTTCTCAGCAGTTTGTCCCATAGGTGCCGACTCTGTGGGTGCTCCGGGGCTGGAGCACCCACTGGGAAATATTAGTGGGTATTCCACACCCACCGACAGCCAAGCTCCTCCCTCCTCCCTCCCCCCCCCCCCCCGAGCATGCCGCATCCCCACTCCTCCCCCTTCCTCCCTTCCAGCCCGCCCACTACCTAACAGCTGTTTGGCAGCGCTTAGGACTTTCCAGAAGGGAGGGGGAGGAGCGGGGAGAAGGTGGAGAAGAGGCAGGGCAGGGGCAGCGCCTTGGGGGAAGGAGGTGGAATGGGGGCAGGAAGGGGACTTTGGGGAAGGGGTGGAATGGGGGTGGGGCAAATGGGGGTTGAGCACCCACCAGGCAGAGGGAGAAGTCGGCACCTATGGTTTGTCCTGCATTTGGCATCCTCAGTTGTGACCCACTGAGGCACAATGACACCCCACCTCTAGAGGGTCAGAGAGAAGGTCAGCCTCTGGCTTTGGCCTTAGGCTGAGACTGCCAACAAAGTGCTAGTTGTGACAAAGTTGATTTAGGTTGTGTGGACATTTGCCTGCTGGCAACTTGACTGAAGCCCCCAGTTCATTTCACATAAGCCTCAGGACAGATGTAAGATGGGAATGAATTCCAACCACTCTGAACTGGCTCAGCTGTGAATCAAAGAGCAAGAGGAAAAGGGCTCCATTTCCTGAGCCTTCCTGTATTCCTTATGTTTCACTTTTAAAAATAGAAAGATAATTCTCAATCTCATGCTGTTGGAGATAGCAATTATGGGCAAGAAGTGAGGAACACCAAATAAAAGTGAGAGTGCAGTGTATGGGGCTGTGGGGGGGAAAATCTAGCTATTTAGTATTGTTGCGTGCTATTAACTAGCTGCTGAATTCCACCCCAGAGCTGTCTGCCTTCAGCACATTTCTTACCTCCCTCCTTCGGTGCTGCAAAGCCTCATTAATTCACGTTGTTAAAGTGTTATGAGACATACACATACACCGCACCTCCCCGATGAAGAAAGTTACCTTTCTTTCTTGTTGCCTTAATAGTAGTGTCACATCCAAGGTTGCCTTGGGCTAATCTGAGCCCTTACCATTTGTTCTGCTTTCCTGAGAAAGCGTCAGTATTTTGAAGAGGGTTTCTTTACCATAGCTCTGTGAGGGATTTTGCCCACCCACCCTCCCTCTGAGCCCCAAAAGTGCTGCTGGTTCGGTAACATCACTGCTTAAAGATCTGTGTTCTATGTGTCCAGAAGTCTGTTGCCACAATAGCCAACATTGATTGGCTAGTGATGATATGATATTGAAGTATGGCCTTTTCAAAGCCTAGCGATCCCCTCTCCTCTCCTTATGGAATGCTTATGGCTAAAACCACTGGGGTGTGTCTGGTGGGCTAGCATCTATATTTACCCAGTTCTGATCAGTTCGGTCCTGTATAATTTAGATTTTCTCAATCATTTCCTCTCTAAGTCTTCTCCTGACCACGCTAAATAAATCCCAGTTTTTACAATGTCTTGTGCTACATAAGC